AAAAAAAAAAAAAAAAAAAAAAAAGAGCCTAAAACTATTCTGAGTATTTCCATGACACCAAGTAAGGCAATGGGTTGAGTAAATTAGGATAACTACTGATAGAATTGACAAAATAAAAAAGGGTAGGGGAAGGTGGTCCCCATAAGAATACTAAAACAACTAGAGAAGAGGCTGGAGTTTGAGTGGCAGGGAGATACAAAAGCAGGCAGGAGTGTTGGTGAACAGAAGGCTAGGGTGTGACGCAGGCAGAAACTGTGAATCTGAAAAAAGGGGTTTCTGCTGAATCTTCCTTTAAAGTAAAAAGCTGCCATGCTCTCAAGTGGGCCCTATTTGGTTGCATGTAAACAGATCTGAGTTTCAGAAATCCTCATTACTTTAAAGGGATAGCCAGCCTTACATCACTCTCACTGAACTTCCGGATGGGGAATTCATCCTTCTCTCTTTTAGTATACAAGAGTTCCTCCTTATATACTTTTATGGAAGAAATAACCCAGAAACAGCAGTGAGGAGAGTCGGGCTCTGCTGCTTCCCTTGCCCAGCTATTTGACCTTGGGATGTCATTTCCCCTCCCAGACATTTTTCCCATCTTTATTTATCCATTCATCTATTAATGCCTGTAACTCTTGAATGTGCTAAACACGGTGCTAAATGCTAGGGACATAATGGTAAATAGGACACACCAAAGCCTGAAATTGATGTCGGCCCCCAAGTTCTCCTTAGCAACAATTCCAACTATCTCCACCCAGTAAACATGGTACAACTGAGAGCAAAAAACCTTTCCTGTAGGACTACAAGGCCTATGGGCCTTTGGAATTCAGTAGGAAATAGCTATGGCATAGGACAGGGGCTTCCCACTTGAGACCCCACGATACTGAGGGAATCTGTGAACTTACTAATAAATGACATTTATACAATTTCACAAACACTTATCCATTTTTATCTTTGGAAGTTATTATGTGTTACACAAATGTTAAAAGTTGTTATTTTCACATCTCTAAATTTAACTCATCATGATGCTCTGTTTCTCCTAGATATGCACAGAAACATAGGTTTCATTTCAAAACTTGTCAGATATATCATAGATATTAAGGGAAGGAAGCATTAAAAGCACTATAAAAATGAAAACTATCTTATAGTATTTGTCTATTTTATGCATTATATAGTATGTATCATTAATATATAATATGTCAGCGAGGGTGAACCTTTTAGAGCTTTCAATGATAACAGCTTTCTGTGGAAAACATGCCATAGATCCACTACCACAGTTACAATTAGTATATTGTTTACAACTCCTATTACTTTGCTGTATTTTATCTAGCTTGAACTGTGGTGATAAAATAAATTCAACTGAGCAATTCAGAAGAGCCCCCTGTTCAAACCAATCAGTCAAGAAATTTCCCCTCCTTCTACCTTCTGCCTTCATTGGGAGAGGTAAGTTTTCAATCTCTAGTCACACCTACTTATTTATCAAGACTAATTATCACAACTGCTGATAATTAGCATCAATACTGATTGGCATAAAACATCCTCCCATGCTGACTGCTTTCAGGTCCTCGGGTATCGATATGTTCATATACCCAGGTTAGATCCCAAAAGACCGTGTGACAGACCTCGGCACTGCTGGTCACAGCTGTCAGCTTCACACTGATTCCAGGTGCAGCCCATCTGCCATCTGCTTAGACTGGTGGGAAGCGTCCCACCGGCACGGAGTCCTTCACTGACCTCTCTGCAAGTGTTGGGATGCCTCCTAGAGTTCTCTTATTACTTGGCAATTCCACGTGGCCAACAAGATGACCATATTATTTCTACAGCAAGCTAAGGAATGGATGAAATCAGTCCCATCAGAAACCTCTATTCCTAAACAGAAAGGAACAAGAAAGAGTAAATACCTTTTACTCCAAGTGCAATCATGATGGGCAAAGACAAGGCGGTCCTGGAAAAGCTAACTGTATGTTCTGCCATCCTCCGCCCCACACCTTGTTTTATCTTTATATGTGTTAATGCTAGTTTATAATTAGTAAATACTTCACTGTGCATTTGTAAATTTTACTTTAATTAATAAATGAAGTTCCCTTCACAACCTTGTCGGGCCATATTTTTAAAACCCAACCATCAGTTGCCTACAGAACTCCATCTGATCTTCTTTCTCGAGGTGTTCATTCTCAGTCTCAAGGCTGGCCACATATTAGAATGAGTTGGGAGACTTTAAAAAACAAAAAGTGAGAGTAGGGTGCCATCTTGGGATAATTAAATTAGGCTAGTGTGGGTATAGGCAGGCATCAGAATGTCTCCAAATGTCCTGGTCACTGTATTGTGCAACCCTTGTTTTAAGAATAGTTGCAAAGTCCAAGTTCTTTGGCATTTCCAGAACAGCTCAACCTGTCCACAAGTCTGTGAGAACACAAAGACGGGAGGCAAACACGTTTCATGGGTAGAGGCAACTTTTTCCATCTCCTAGTCTGTCTTCCTGACATGTGCAATTCTGAGTTAAGGAGGCCATGTCCTTTGGAGAATATTATTAATGTTCTGAGAAGTTTATATTTCGTTCTTCACAAAGATCCACTATGCCTACAAAGAAAGAAATTTGTAAATTCATTTTGCACTTTGCTTTCCCATGTGGAAACAGCCCATGTAGCCCACTTTCAGACTGGGGAGGAGTTTGAATATTCACTTCTGTGCCTTCCTTTCCATTAAGTATCATTCTTTTGCTTATTTTGAGTTTATGTCTCTATGAGAATCATCTATGAGCCTTTTTCCAAAATTACACATACCCTTGGGCTGGGATTTAGGTCAGTGGTGCTGCTGCTGCCTCCCAAGCACAAGGACCCAAATTTGATCCTTGGTACAAAAAAAAAAAAGGAAATTTGTTAGCTGGGCGTGATGACGCACACCAGCACTCGGGAGGCTGAGGCCGGAGGATCGCTGTAAATTGGAGACCAGCCTGGGCTACATAGTGAGTTCCAGGCCAGTCTCAACTACATGGTGAGACCCTGTCTCAAAAAATAAATAAATAAATAAAATAAACAAAATTACACATACCCTCACCCAGAGTTTCTCAAGGTGAAAACTGCTAGGGGATGTTTGTTTGTTATTTAGTTTTTCCACAGCACTGATACTAACCTCAGCCACTTTAGCATGTGGGCTCATTGCCTATTTGTACTTATCAGGACGAGAAAACAGCAGCCTGAGAGTTACCAAATAACGTTCTCTGGTTGGACTTCTGAGTCCTAGCCCAAACTGACAAAAATCCCCGAGCACAGACAAACAATAATTGCTTCCTGTCCTCTGGCCCTTTGCAAATCAAACTTGTACAGGACCTGCTGGGCCACTCCGGAGGAGCTACCCAACAAGGCAGCATGTCTCCCTGCAGGAGATTGGCCTTCACGATCTGCCTTTTAGAAATAAGTGGGCTTATTTTAGGGCCCACTCTTAGGTGAGTGATGGGTTGTCTATTTGTCTCTGGAATTTTACTGTGGTGGGGTTTGATGTTTCAAATTTAATTCTAAACAGCAAAGTAGACAAAAATGTTAAGTCCAGCAGTGATATGTACAACCCAATAATTTAAATTTTAAAAAGAGATAAGAGAAAACATACAGTGATCTTTGCAAGTTTTCTTGGAAACCTACTGCTATTTCTGGAAATTTCTTTAAACAAGGCACTCTAAGGCCAAGATATTATTTTTAAACACTTGGAATTACAACACTGGTTGTCACCAGTGTGTGATAAACCTGGATTTATCAGTGCCTAGTGTTCAAAAAGTTTAAAATTCAGGTAATTAATCTCTTCTTCATTTTGTCTCAATGCCTAACAACTATTGGCTACACTGACCTTTTCCTGGCACATTAGGCAAAGATTAATTGCTTTGTTTCTCCTCCTCGGCATCCCCTACTGTGTCCCAGATGATGGCCTGGGGTTTGGGGTACTTTTGCTACCATTGAAGAAGCACCACAGTATAAACCCAATGGCTGTTCTTGGCTTGGTCCTCTTCCTCTGATCCTACGCAGGATTACAAAGCCCAGGTGCTATGGCTTGCACATGGCTTCTATTGTGTGCTAAAAGTATGGTCCCCAAGGTGGCTGTTGAGGTGGCAGAAACTTTAAGAGGTAGATCCCTGTGCTAAGAAATTAGGTTTCAGGGGGCCCCACCCTCACTCACAAAGGAGTAGGTCAAGTCTAATAGAAGTGGATTGGTTCCCAAAGTATGTTGTAAAAAATAGAGTGAGGCTGGTCCTTCCTGGCCTGTGGCTCTCTTTGTCACACACACGCTTCTTCTGCATGCAGCCATTTCTTCTTCTCTTTTGAGGTCAAGTGTGATACAGCCAAGAGGACCTCTTCACACAATCTGAACTTTGCAGCCACCCAAATCTTGGACGAAGTAAATCTTTATACCTTACCCACATTGGGCATTTTGTAATAGCAACACAATGGGGGAGAGCGCTACATTAAGCCCCGCTAGGAAGTAAACCAATTGGAGAGTAAATGTATCCTGAACATGAGCATGGCACCTAGGAATGCTGGAGCTTAGGGCCCCATGAGGCATCCTTCCCTCCATCCAGAAGTCACCATGTGACCCAATTCAGTATGATGAGAAATGATGACAGTATGGAATTATTCCTGGCTTCAATGGTCCAGCAAAGGGGAAACGCTGGTGCAAACACTGTTCCTCTGGCCAGATGCCCTATGATTGGGTCACCTGACTCTTGGTTTACCCAAACTCTCCTTTGGATTCTGATGCCCATTGCAAGCCCACCCTTGCTGCCTCTATAGTGAAGGCTGCCTTTCAGCTTGGGCTCCACTCGCCAAAGTTGGTTGTTTATGGGGCTGCATCTCCCAGGAGGGGGCTCACAGAGGTGCTGCCCAGACCTGCACAGGCTCTGGATCATTCTTTTCACCTCCTCTTCCCACATTACCTATGCAGCTTTATTCCACTCAGAAAAGATTTCCACTTTCCTAGCAGCTGTCCACAAAAGGAACTTTTACTTGGACCCAGCAGTTACTGAAAATTGTGTTAGCTCTCTTATATTTAACCTGACTCTCTCTTAAGTAAAAAAAAAAAAAAAATTTTTTTGAAATGCATTCCTGGATTGTGGCTCCTACTGATTAAAAGAGAGAGGCTGTGGGGAAATCTTAGTTGCTTTCAGATTTGTGCTCTCCAGGTCCTGGCCACACTCAGCTATTCCAAGGAGGACCAGAAGCCCCTTGGCTGGCCCCCAGCTGCCGGCAGCTTCAGTGCCAAGTTTCACCTGCCCTTGCACATTCCCACAGTCATGCCCTGGACGGTGTGTCAGGGTTAACTTGCTCTGAACACTCAGTGCTCTGCCCTTTGATAGAGGCTGAGGTCAACGCAGAAAGTTCAGAGACTTCAGTCACGACATGAGTCAAATAATTCACTTGATGAACAACTAAAGAAACAAAATTTACAAAAAAACTCTATAGACGTTTATGTGATCTCATCAAAGTGTTCCTCTGGAGCTAGGCTCCCGCAGCTCAGGCCATTACTTGTAAACCATGCAGGTTGGAGCAAGCAGCTAGACCTTCCTGGACTTCAGTTTTTTTCAACTGTAAAATATTGATCCTGTTCATTTCCCAAGGCTACTATAATCAAGTAGCACAAATTGAGTGACTTACACTGCGGTCATTGATTGCCTCACATTCTAGGGCAGTGGTGGAGAAACTATGGCATGTGTGCTGCTTGTGTAATTGAAAGACCTAGAAGCTTTGCCATCATGCTCTTGGGACTAGAAGTCGTAAATCAAGGCCTGGTCAGGGCCATGGTCCCCTTCCTAGTTTCTGGCAGTGGCCAGCAATCCCTGGCACTGCTTGTCTTAAAGATGCACAATTTCAGTCTCTGCCTCTGTTACCACCTTCTCTGTCTAGGCAGCTTCACATCACCTTCCTACTGTGAAGGTCTTTAAGATTTTTCCCTTTTTATGAGAACACTAGTCATATCGGATTTGCTACCACTATGATTTCATTTTAACTTGATCACCTGGGTAAAGACCCCACTTCCCAATAAGGTCACATTCTGAGGTATTAGGGTTTAGGACTTCAATATATCTTTTGGGGGGATAGTACATAAATCCAACCCATAATGATGATAGCATCTATCTAGCAAGGTTTTTGGTGAACATTAAATTGTGATACGTGCAAAGTAGTTAGAACATCTGCTGCTGGCACATGGAAAGAACTCAATAAATGTGTGGTATTTTTTATAGTAATAACCATTCTATGCCTTCTACTTTAATACCCTTCCTTATTTGAGAGAAGTACTAGAGTTACAGCCTTCAGTAGCTACGTGCTGCCACTACAGTAGTTATGTACCAACTACAGAAACCCACTACTACCAGTGAACCACTGGGGACTTCTAACCCTCTAGGGTTTGGTTGGTTGGTTTTTATTGTTTTGTTTTGTGAAGAGAAGTTTGCCCAGGAGAACAGGTTCTGAGGGGAACATCACCTGTTACATTTCTCAGGGTAGAATGGAAATATTAAAATCCACTGTGGGAGGAGAATAAGATCTTCTAGGACCATCCCACCTGGGATGGCTCCTGGCTGCCCGGTTTACTCTGCTGGAGAATTCCTTACCTTCTCTGAATCTGCTTCTCACCTGTGAAATAGAAGGAGCAGTAGGACCTGGCGTGAGGAGCACCACAGGTAACAAACACAATACGCTCAGCACAGTTTCCAGCAAGTGTTAAGTGTTCCAAGCAGGTAGCTGTCTTTATCCTCTCTTCTTCATTTGTAAATAACAAAATATACACATGGTTCCGAGATAAGAAAAATAAGGTGTACATTGAAAAATTTTGCTTTCCCCACTCGTAGCTTTTCATGAAATCTGTGATAGCTTATGTAAGTTGTTGAGGACATTTCCCATCCCATCCTACTCTATTTTTTAGGTAAACATATATTGGCTGCTTGTGTATCTTTCTTTCATCTCTTTACATAGATTAAAGCAGTCATATGTTATCTTATTCTCTCCCTTTTTTTTTTTTAATTGAGTTTATTGGTACATTTAGGGATACAGTACAGTTTCATTCATTGTTGGGATCATATACCTTTACATGGCAAGTCTTGTTTCTCATTTTTTTCCCCTTACCTCTGGCCTCCCTTCACCCCCTCCTCCCCTCCCCATCTACAAACACTTTATTTTCATCTTTTCATTCTCTCACATTTTTTTCTTTTCCCTTTTTGTTCTTCCCCTACCTATCACACCTTCCCTAAACCTTTAGCTCCTTTCCTCCCATTTCTAAATGTCAGTAATCTTATTAGAATCTTATGCATTGTTGCAGAATATTCACACCAGGGAAACTATTTGGTATTTACACATGTGGGACTTATTTATTTCACTTAGGAGTATATCTTCAATATGTATCCATTTTCCTATGAATGAATCTATTCTCTCGCTCTTTATGGCTGAGTAATATTCCATTTTATAGAAAAACCACAACTTCTTTATCCAGTTTCCAACGGATGGGCAAATAGGTTGTTTCCAAGATTTAGCTATTACAAACTGTGCCGCTATAAACATGGGTGCACATACTTCTCTGTGATATGATTCTTTTAGTTCTCTTGGAAAGATACCCAACAGAGGGATGGCTGGGTCAAATGGAACCTCCAGTCCAAGCTCTTTGAGGTATCTCCATATTGATTTCCATAGTGGTTGCACTAGTCTGCACTCCCACCAACAATGGAGGAGGGTTCCTTTCTCCCCACAACCCCGCCAACATTTGTTATTGTGTGATTTCTTGATAGCAGCCATTCTTTGTGGGGTGAGGTGGAATCTCAGTGTTGTTTTCATCTGCATCTCTCGAATGACCAGTGATGTGGAACATTTTTTCATATATTTTCTTGCTGCTTTCACTTCTTTGTATGAGAAATGTCTGTTCATTTCGGATGCCCATTTTTGGATCGGGTCTTTATATTTGGGGGGACTGATTGTTTTGAGTTCTTTATATATCCTTGATAATAGTTCTTTGTCTGAGGTACAGCTGGTAAAAATTTTTTCCCACATTGTAGATTGTCTCTTAGTTCTGCTAATGGTTTCTTTTGAAGTACAGAAGCTTTTTAGTAAGATGAGATCCCAGTTGTTGATTCTTTCTGCTAGTTCCCGTGCTACTGAGGATTTGTTCATAAAGACTTTTCCTATACCAATGTCTTCCAGAGTTCTGCCTAACTTACTTTCCAGCAAGTTTAATGTTTCTGTTTTAATATTTAGATCTTTAATCCATTTGGATTTTAATTTAGTGCATGGCGAAAGATAAGGGTCTAATTTTAATCTGTGGCAGGTTGATATCCTCTCTCCCTTTCTTTACAGAAGCTCTCATATTATACTTACTGTTGTGTACTTTGCTCTTTTTTTTTTTACATTACAATATAACCTGGCTACCTTTCTATATCAGTTTAAAGGCACTTCCTCATTCTGCTCACAGCTCATTAATTTCCTATTGTGTGAATAAAACACTGAGGTTACTCATCTCCTACCAACAGACACTTGGGTCCCTTCCAGTCTTTTATATCAGAAACAATGCTGCAAGGGATATCCTTATTTATATATCATTTTGTAAGTTGAATCGTGTAACTGAGATATAAAGTATGCCACTTCTCACTTCCCAGAAATGATATCACTGGTTCAGAAGGTAATAGCCTCTGTGACAATGCCAAGGTCATCCCACAGTTCTGTGGTGTTTGAATTATTTTGCACTTCCCCCAGCACCTTATGAGAGTACTGGTTTCCCCTGCGTCTGCCAATAGGAACAAGGGGCCAACTAGTTTGGTGTTTGTCAATCACATAGGTGGAAAATTTGGCAGAGTTTTAATTCACCTTTCTCCTATTGAGTCAGGTTGCACAATTTAAAAAACATATTTAAAGGTTATATGTATGGCTCTTATGGCAAAGTGCCCTTCAGGCATGTTAAACCAGGAGTCAGAAGACTTGAGAACATCTAGGAATGTGAGCTCTGGAGAGAAGCTTCTTGATTCCCATCCCTGCTGCCACATGACCTGGGTAGAATTCCTCGCTGTCTCTCTGGCTCAGTTCCTCATCTCTGAAGAGTGAGAGTAAGAGTAAGAGATATTTTACAGAGCCTATGTAAGAATTAAGTGGACAATAATATATGGCTTTATGCTTCTGACACAAACTAACCACTTACAGACATTAGCAATCATTACTTAATTTATTTCAGTTAAATTTATCTTAACCATTTGGAAAAAATACTCAAATATACTTTCATGGAAAAGATGAACCTAAAAGAAAATGAAGCTATCCAAAGTATCCATTTTTCTTCTTAGTTTGATTTTATTTCCCTGGGAGTTTCATTTCCATATTCAATACAAGTTAGAAGCTATTTATTTATCAACTTCTCAAACAAATACCCTAGGATAAACCAGTACAGCTTGAATAGCCTTTTCTAACTGGACTTTGCAAGCCATTCTTGCATTCTACTCTTTAAAGGAATCACAATGGCCCGGCCAGCTCCAAGAAAAAGTAGACCCTTCTTTAGGTGGGAGGAGTGTCACAGAATCTGTGGAGACATGTCTAAAGCCCCTAGGAGTATTCTTTCTCAATTCTCTGTAGAAGCTCTCCCTCCACCTCCGGTACTGTGATTCTCTCTACCCTCTTACCTTGCTGCATTTTCCTTCAGAATTCATGTGTCCTAACAGACACTGCATGGTACGTTCTCTGGTATACTTGCTTGCTGTTTCTCTCCTCTAGAAGATTATGGTGTGGATGTGGTCTGTTTTATAGCCCCAGCCACTAGTACAAGTCCTGAATCACAGCAGGCCCTCGATAAAGGTTGTTGTTGAATGCTGACTCATGGGGATCGTGGGGGGGGGCGGTTTTAGATGAGACTTGGAGAATCACTAAAGTCCTGAAAAGAATTTAGTGCTGGGCACTGCTGTTCTATTAGTTTTGTTATCTTCAGGAATTACATCAGTTAAGCCAACTGGAAGACCCATGGGTTAAGAATGTACTGCTAAATAACTTACATTTCTCTGCTCAAGGGAGCCACACTGTCTTATTTATTGACAAAAAAGATTCCTTTATACAGTTAGTACTTTCCTGCCTGGGCTGACCACGGTGTTCTGGAGTGTGAACTGCTGCTGAGCCTTTGTCTAAGCTGGAAACTTCTCTTCATGGCAGGAGGATGGGACAAGGCATGCACTTATGCCTTTCCTTTAGTGCATTTCTGGCCCAGAGTTAGGCCTCCTACCAGGTTGATTCGACATCGCTTTGAGCTAGGAGGTGTCTCTCAAGCAGAGGTCAAAGCACTTGCAGAGCCTTTGTACTTTATAAACACATTTCATGTAAGAATCAGAAAGTGCTCTCAAATACTTCATAGCTCAGCCTAACGTCTCAGCACGATGATAGGCAGGTGGTGAGTACAGTATATATGCAGTCCTTCAGCTACAAATGATAATCTGCTGAGTGAGTTAAAGGGGCTGAGTGGTGGTGCTAGGCTCACAGTGAAATCCAGAAGGAGCCATTAAAGATCATCCATCTCCTTTCCTTATATTTTCGCAGCATACTTAATTCAACAACATTTGTTTTAGCAACATATATTTAATGCATTGTTGCTTCCTAATAATTCCTCTGAGCTCTACCTTTAATTGTTCCCCCGGGTATTAAGACACCTGGCACAGGGGCAGTGAAACAGTCCCTAGCGCACAGTTTATTTTTGCCTCATTTGACACCAGTTATTTGTAAGCTCAAGACAGATCCATGGAGGAATCAATTGTCCAATTAATGTACTTTACCTGGAGCTGTTGTATTTTAAAAACTAAACTGAATTCTTGTTAACTCATTGTTATCTTGAAATGTCTGAAACCCTGAAGAATTTATTGAACAAGCTATGACTGCTAAGCTTATTTCAAGTAGAATTTGTGTTGGGGCAGGAGAGGCAGCACAAAGATGGGAAAAAACTGTACTAATCTAGAAGAGAAATGTAAGTTCTAAATCTACAACGGTCCAACTTGGAATAAGTTCTTCATTTTTAGTTTCCCATCTGTAAAAAAAAATTAATGAAACGAATCAAATGTATTCCTCAAACATAGCTTAGTTTCTCATTAAGCCTTTACTCTAAGAAAGTGACCCATTAAAGCCAGCAGACAAGGATAAGGTATTGCTTAATCAAACACATGTGAGTGTGAGTGTGGGCTGAATTGTGTCTCCACAAATTTGCTATGTTGAACTCCTAATCCTTAGCGCCTCCTAATGTAATTATATTTGCACTTAGAGTCTTTAAAGTGATAATTAATTTAAAATTAGGTCAAAGGGTGAGCCTTACTCCAATATAACTCCTGTCCTTCCAAGCAGAGGAAATCTGGACACAGAAACATACAGAGAAGTGATGGTGAAAATGCACGGGGAAGACGGTGATCCCTGAGCCAAGAGTGAGAACTCAGAAGAGACCAGTCCTTGTATACTTTGACCTCAGATTTCTTGCCTCTAGAATTGTGAAAGAAATAAGTTAAGTAATACCTTGGGCCTATTATCTAGAGGGACAAGGATGTGGTTAGTGAGCATCACCTTCAGGGACAGAAGTAAATTCATATCAAAGGCCAGAGGGTAATGAGAGATCGAAAGCAAAGACCTAGTGCTCGGTACTAAGTCTAAAATGTAAGCCAAACTTATAGAAGAAAACAAGTCTTTAAGAAGTGTCTTATTAGGGGCTGGAGAGTTAGCTCAGTGGTGTCACCACCTGCCTCACAAGCACAAGATCCCAAGTTCAACCCCGCTACAAAGAAAAAAAGAAAGAATCACAAAAAGTGTCTTAGTCACTTTCTCCTTGCTGAGATGCAATACCTGATACTCGAAACTTAGGGAAGGAGAGGGTTATTTCGGCTCATGTTTCAGTTCATAGTTGGCTGGCTCCAACGCAGGATAGCATGACAGAGATGTGTGCTGGAGGAAAGTTGTTCATGGCATGGTCACCAGGAAGCAGAGAGAAAGAGAACGAAGATAGGAGGTAGAGGCAGGGAAGAAGACATGGTATGACCTTTCAGGCCACACCCCCAATAACCCATCTTCTCTGATCAGGCTCCACCCCCAACATTATATTTATCAATGAACTCATCAGTGCAATAATCCACTGGCAATTTTCACACCCTGGTGATCTAATCACCTCCCAAAAGCCCTACTTAGGATCATGAGGTTTTGGGGGGACATCTAGATATAAACAGTAAGAAGAAGCTAAGAATGAAGTAAATGAGTGTGCCAGTAGTCCTTTTGGGCTTTAACACAAAGGGTATCAGAGAACTGTCCAAAGGAACTGCCAGGTTCACTGGAGCAGGGTCTAGTCACTTCACATGAACAGAACAGCTGGGCTCGAGGATTATCACACCACAGCCTGGACTCTAGGTTTACTCACGAAGAACTGAACCTTACTGCTGAGTATTTGCAGTGGCTTTTACCTTTCGTTTGTGATCCTCTACTGCTAGATCCTCTGGACCAGCACTCACTGACACCAGTCTGAACTGCGAGTGAGCATGACAGAGTTAGGATAGCCCTGCTCCATAGCATGCGGCTTCTGGAACCCTGGAGAGACGCTGAAACAAAGTGCTAATATGTTACCAGTTCAAGGTAACAGGAAGATATTGTGAAGATCCATAGAGATGCTAGTAAGCAAAGCCTAGTGTAAATTCTCAGACAAGGATAGCTCAGCTCAGAGACCTATTGAAGTCAATGGTGGCCTTAAGTTTGTGTAGTTTTGACATAACAAGTACCCCACATCTATTTGAATTCCACCCTTTCAGATATCTTGGATTTCTACCAAACATTGCAAGCAGTATTTTTTCAACACTGTATGACATGAAAATCACCTCATCTGGGTAGGTATTTAGAAACATGGGTATCTGTAGGCAACTTCAGAAAGCCTGATTTAATTGGTATGGGATGAGGATCAAAATTTTATAATACACATTTCTTAAATACTTATTTGTTTTTGTGGTGCTGGGGATTGAAGCTAAAGACTTGCACATGCTAGCCATGCATGCACTCTACCACAGAGTTATATCCCCAGTCCAAATTCTTATTTTTAATATCTGTGATGAGGACACAGGACCAGTATTGAGATCCACTGTTACAGGACATAAACCTGCATCTGCCAGAGCTTCTTGGGGCCCATCAGTTCCATCAGTTCTGTTCGCATTAGACAAGGCTTTAATTTCATGGAGATTTTCTAGCACAGAATTTCTCAACTGTGTGATTTCTGACACACACGGATACCCAAATTTAAGGACAGCAGATTTTTCTAGGAATTTTGGCAGCCTGTATGATACATTTTTAGTCTGTACTTTTAATAGATAAAAGCTAAGCAGACTTCTTGATATTCTGGATGGTTTGGGGAAGGGTCAGATTTATAAAAATGGCATCTCCATGCAGGATGCCTGCCTGAATGACAAATCCATGTGTATTTCACAAAACCATGTGAATGGTTCACTAGGAGATCAGTTTAGAAACATAAAGGCTTACGTCTACCCAAGACCACGTGACCAGGAATTGGCTTCCTCTTCTTTCACTGAGTTATTCACTTATTCATTAAAAAACGCTTCCTAAGAGCCTATTATGCCTCAAGCACTTCATCTGCAAGCTGAACAGGACATAAAATTTCTTAGTCTCACTGGTATTTTTGACTAGATTATAAATTCAGTTTAGTTTAGGGAATCTTGGTTTTCATTTTGCTTTGTTGTTTTGAACATCACTGTATCTCCAATGCCTAGACAATAATAGTCAATTAATAAGTATTTGATAAATTTATTAATTATCTAATTAATTAACAATAAAATATGTCCTTGCAGAGGTGTTTACAATATAGTGAAGAAGACAAGGATGCTGCAACAGTATGTACACAGAAAACTACCCCAGGAGGTTAGGAAAGGTTTTTAGGAGGAGAGTGTTGAGTGAAGAAAGTCAAACATAAAAAATTAAAGGCACAGCCAGGTGTGTGGTGCACACCTTTAATCCCAGAACTTGGGAGGCTGAGGCAGGAGGATCGCTGTGAGTTTGAGACCAGCCTGGTCTACATAGTGAATTCCAGGTCAGTCTCAACTACAGTGAGACCCTACCTTTAATCCCAGAACTTGGGAGGCTGAGGCAGGAGGATCGCTGTGAGTTTGAGACCAGCCTGGTCTACATAGTGAATTCCAGGTCAGTCTCAACTACATAGTGAGACCCTGTCTCAAAAAAAGAAAAAAATTAAAGGCATATATTTCATGGATTCTGTTATGTGAGGAGCTCAAATTATAAATTAATTAGAGTAAAATAAGGAGAGATTGTATGAGACAGGGAAGTAGACCTTTTGGAGAAGGGGAAGAGGATCACAGAAATGGGGGGAGGAATGCTGGGGAGATAAAGGGATCAAAAGTGATCAGGAAATAATATATATTATAAGTTTCCCCCAAATAAACATAACTATTATGTATCACAAACACACACTAGTAAAAATGTGTCCTAGCTAAGATCAGCATGGTGATCAAGAGGCTAGCATGATGAGAGACCTGAAGTCTTGAGAAAAAGTGGCTCATCTAACAAAGTTAAGCTCAGTGTATCAGGGACTTAGGTAGAAAAAAAGCAAGGCTGTAGCGTTTGGAAGGGGCCAGGCTATGTAGAACTCTCGGGGTTATGTGTATTTGTTTCCTGTTGCAATGGTAACAAATGACACAAACTCAGAGGCTTAAAACACAAGTTTACTATCTTATAGGTCTGAAAGTTGGAAATCTGAATCCGGTTTCACTGGGTCAAAATCAAGGTGCCAGCAGGGCTAGATTCCTTAATGGAGGATCTAGAGAAGGATCCATTTCTCTGCTGTTCCAATGTTCCAGAGTTCCCTGCATGTTTTGACTCATTACCTCTTCTTCCATCTTGAGAGCCAGCACCAACAGCAAGCAGCATACCTTTACAAGCCTTCAGTTTCTCCTGCCTCTTCTGCTCTCACATCGCTCAAGCTCACTCTTAAGAGCTCCTGTGATTAGAAGAGGCTCACTCCTTCATCACAATCTGCCAAGTCTCTTGCCATTTACAAGTTGACAGAATACAGGGATTAGGACATGGACATCTTTCGCAGCTGTGGTTCACATCACATTAGAAAATTGTCTTTAGAGTGACGGGGAAGCTACTGACAGGCTTCCAGTAGGGGAATGATAAGATCGTGTTCTCATTTCAAAGAGATCCCTCTGGATGCCTGGCACAAACTCAGAAAGGATTGTAGTCACCTATGGGAGATAAATGCTAGTGCGGACAAGAGTACATCTGGAAGAGAAAAGGAATGGCGGATCTGAGAATCATTCACAAGACTGTCAGCAACGGGTGTCAGTGGTTGATTAGATGTCAGAGATAAGGACGAGGGGATGCAGATCGACAAGTAACACCCAAGACTGGCTGGGATAGCTGCATAAGTCAAGGAGCAGCTCTGAATGAGAAGGAAAAAATAATGAATGAATGATTTAAGAATCCATTAAATTCTATGAGCCTTGAAGATACACAAGTGCATATATCCAGTTGGGAATGAAATTCAATAGTTTAAAATTCAAGAGAAATGTCTGAACTCTGTGGGTATCATTAGGACACGCACAGAGAAACAACAGCTCTGGAGAAACATGGAGAAAAAGAGAAAGACAGAAGCTTGCATAGGAGAGCAGAGACAGCACTAGGCAGAGAACAATATATTGTCACTTGGTGTAAGGGAAGAGAGTGCTTCGAAAAGCACGAGTGGCCACCTGCCTTCAAGGCTGTGAGGAAGTTTCTAAGGTCAGGACTGAAAGGAACCAACTAGGCCCACAGCTGTCATTGTGTTCTTGGGCAGGAGCAGGGCTTGCAGGGCGAGGAGCAGGCGACCGGGCAAAGCTACCTTTCCAGACACTTGGCCAAAAGCACAGAAAATTTAGGAGAAGCAAAAGAGGCATGGAGGGTTGAAGAAGGAGATGAGGTTGCTGGGGGATGAGGAAGAAAACTGAACATACTTACTGCAGTTTATTGAAGCTGTGTCCTTGTGAGGAGCAGGAAGGAGATGGGGGCAGCTGGAAGAAAATATACAGTTCAGGGAGGCTGTTCTATGTGTTCACACCTTGCCTTTTCTCTGTTTAATGTCACAGACTTGCACTCATTGTATTACAAATGGCGAGGAGCTGGTTACAGGGAATGGCTTGAAATGGAGGAGATTTTCAATTAATTACTCTCCAAGTATAGCCTAGGTCCAAGTTTCCTTGAACGAATCAGCTTTGTCTAGTGGTCCCCCTTGTTCAGGTCGCCTCACTGAAAGGATAGGTGCCCGGTCAGAGAAGCAGAGGCAGGAAGTTTGTACGACTCTTGTTTGGTAATGTCTGTTTTCGTTATGTTTGTCTCATTTCTGTCACTGAATGGAATAATTATCCAAGGTAGGGTTGGATCTAGAAGAGATCCAGATGGCAAGCCAACGGCAAAAGGAAAGCTCAACACTAAAAGTGCCCCCAAGCATTGGGTACAGGAGTGGGAAGGGGACTAAAATGCATGATGCTCAACCTCAGAAAGAGGAAGAATGAGTTCTGAAGTGAGTGGGGTGTGGCGTGGCAAAGCTTTCAGTGTGGAGCTTGTGTATAGAATCCCGGAGCAGGAAAGCCCGGGTGAGGAGGTTCTTGCTGCAGTAACGGCGGGACTGGCTGCCTTACATCTGCAAGAGAACCAGGCAACTGGGAATTTTGCCAGTACCTCAAGGGAGGGGAGGTGTATACAGAAAGTGAAACAAGATTTCTCGCTTCATGATCTGTTTGAAAATATAAGATCAATCAGTGTAAAATATCTGCCAGGTTACTTGGCTAGTTTTCTTTGTGTTATTGTTCTTATTGGTAGGTTGAAAGTTAAATTAGCATGCATTACACAAATTAAACAAAAAGATGCATTGAAAATACAAAATAACATGTGATAAAGTGTCAAATGGGACACAGGGTAAAAGGATACGTAGCATTAGGGCTGGGGATTTAGCTCAGTGGTTCCGCCGCCTGCCTTGCCAGTACAATGACCCGAGTTTGATCCCTGGCACCAAAAAAACAAAAACAAAAACAAAAATAAGTAGTATGATTTAGAAGGAGGAACGAAGTAAAAGATTATTTTTTCAGAACTGGCTGGGGATTGAACTCTGAGCCTTTGTAATGAGCTACATCTTTGGCCCTTTTTATTGTTTTTACTTTGAGACAAGTTTCACTAAGGCTCTTAGTTGTCCAGGCTGGCCTCAAACTTTAATTCTTTTGCCTCAGTCTCTCAGACTTCTGGGTTGTAAGCATGAGCCACTATGTATAGCTGAGAAACAAAACTAGTTTGTGAAGACTTCTTGGAAATAGGAATACATGGTGATCACTACAAGGTGATTAACTTTTATTATGTCATTTACAGCCAACAATTAACACAAAGTGATGGCTCTCTGTTGCCCAGAGACTGCCGAATGAGTGCCTGGAGTGAATGGTCGGAGTGTGATCCTTGCCTCAAAGAAAAGGTAAGTGTCCACCTTCTTTTTCCTCTGGAAACTATCGCTCACAAATCCTGTGAAAGAGCTGTGAGGCGAAAAGCCCCCACGACTGAGTTCCCATCCCCAAGGAGAGACAATCAGCTAAGTGTATACGGCTTGTCCTTGCCTTGTCTGAATGCTGCATGTCATACCAAGTGAAAGTCATATCCTGTGTACAAGACAGTAGGTAACCTAGAATGTGAAGTGACTAACTTCACTAACATCGGTGACAGCTGCTATGGTTTCTCCCTTAAAACCATGGACTCACTTTGTTTTGGGGAGGCTGCAGTAGGGTGGGTGCTGCTCTTGACCCTAATCCTTTGCTGCATTAGGAAGTCTAATTTTTCCAGCTGGTTTTGTGCAGTTTCGCTCAAGGAGCATTGAGAGCTTTGGACAGTTTAATGGGAAACGTTGCATGGATGCTCTGGGAGACAGACAGCAGTGTGTTCCCACGGAGCCTTGCCTGGAGGCCGAGGATGACTGTAGAAATGACTTTCAGTGCAGCACAGGTAAGCCCTGCCCATCAGTTGCTCACTGTAGATTTCTGTGTGCACTCCTGAATGAAAAGAAATACACATGCTGTAGATACATTTCCAAGTAGTAAAGCGTTCCCAATAAGGCTTTCATCCATATATTCTCTACAAAAACTTCAAATGTGTTGGTCTAGGTCCTCACCTCCAGCCCTAAAGTACATTTGATGTCAGAAAGAGAGAAAGAAAAAAAATCTGGCTTTAGACACAATATCTTTCCTGATTTTTGACTTCAGGCAGATGCATAAAGAAGCGACTTCTGTGTAATGCTGACAATGACTGCGGAGACTTTGCAGATGAGGAAGACTGTGACAGTGACCCCCGGCCCCCCTGCCGCAATCGAGTGGTAGAAGAGTCTGAGCTGGCACGAACAGCAGGCAAAGGGTCTGTACTTCATTTGAATTTTTCCAGATGAAAATCAGTGGAAAAGTCTCCAACTCTCTGACTATGATAGAGTAGTAAAAGGGTTTATACAAAGGATGTGATTCATGCAGGATACTCTAAGCTTTCCAACCTCAGTCGTGTCTGTAAAACGAACTACACTATCAGGATGCTGCTTTTGAGTCCAGGAAGAGATGAAATGGTTGTGTAACATCAGGGGGATCACAGCAACACTGATATGGCACGTGGACCTTTGGAACTCAATGGCCAATCAGTTAGAACATCTGAATTCCCAGAAGGCTGTCTTACCTTGGGACTTCTAGGTTGACAGCTGATTATAAATTCTCAGGAGGGTCTAGCACTCTGGAGTTGACCTAGGAGGAATGGGTTCAGAGGAAGCAATACTGAGAACAGAATTTGTACCGGGCTCTGGACAGGTGGCTGTAAGCTCGAAGGGAAGCTTTGGAGTTTGGAATCAAGGGATCTACACAGTAATGTAGAGATCTGTGCTCCAGGAATTTGGAAAACTGTAAGACCTGCAGTTGAGTTATGTTCTGTCCATTATCCCAGGAACATCACTTCATGACCTCCATTAATTGTCCCGATCGGGGTGAATGTGTCCCTGACAAGGACACAGTTGTTCTCCCACTCAGTAGTACACGGGCAGAGATGGCATGGCTCTATTTCACCACCCATAAAGTCTTTTTATCTTCATAATTTTGGGGCCTGCTTCATAGCAGATACTCAAATGCTTGGGGGATGAACAAATAGGCAAATTAACTGATGCATAACAACATATAGATGTGTGGCTTCTAAAATACTGACAACTGGCACCAGGTAGAACTAAAACTAAGTTTCTAGAATGAAATTCAAGACAAAGGTCCAGAACTTGAAATGCAGATTATAAGAAGAAAGAAGAGGAAAGAGATGGCATAGCTGATGCAGGGACCATAAGGTAGAAGTTCTCAGCCAGTGGTTATTTCCCCCAGAAGACATTTAGCTATGTCTGGAGACCATCCTTGCTGTCACAGCTTGGAGGGGACAGAAAGGCTAGTGCTGCAGGCACCTTGTGAGTAGAGACCAGGGATGACGCTAAGAGTCCTACAACACATAGGCAGCAGGACCCAAATGTCAATAGCTCTGAGGCTGAGAAACCCTACACTGAGGTACTAGGCAGTTCCTAAGTCAACATCCCCATATCAGGTTGGGTTAAAAGTGGAAAACTCTCCTCTCTCTAGGCCAGGTAAACTTCCATTTCTTTAATGAAAATAAAAACAAAATCCCATTATACAAGAGTCAGGTGCCAGATAAAACATTTTATATACCCTTTTTACAGTTCATAAAATCTTTTCCATGCCTGTAATCCCAGCACTCTAGGAGGCTAAGGCAAGAGAATCTCAAATTTGAGTCCTGCCTAGAAAGCTTAGCAAGACTTTATCTCAAAAAACAAAACTAAAGGCCAGGGATCTAGCTCAATGGTACTGTGCCTGCCTCAAAAGCACAAGGTTTAATCCCTGGAGTTTAATCCCTGGAACTGAAAAACAAAACAAAATGCCCCAATAATTTTAAGGCTGGGAATGTACTCAGTGGGAAGGCCCTGAGCAAATAAATATATATATATAATTTTAAAGTGTGTGTGTGTGTGTATACATATATATATATATATATATGTATATACACATACATACATAAAAATGTGTATATATATTCCAAGCAGCATTCAATCCCTTTGACTCTTATGTTTTTTCTTCTTCTTCTTCTTCTTCTTGGTTTTTTGAGACAGGGTCTCACTATGTAGTTGAGACTGAACTGGAACTCACTATGTAGCCCAGGCTGGTCTCGAACTCACAGAGATTCTCCTGCCTCAGCCTCCCGAGTGCTGGGATTACAGGAGTGTGCCACCACTCCCAGCTTTGACTCCTATTTTAAAGGTGGGAATCTTTAATCAAGCTCACAGGCCCTACTAGTATACAGCAGTAAATGGTACAAGATTATCTGAAATTTTAGCAACCAGATCACAGCATGCTCAAGTGAACCCCAACTCTTTCTGCTGCTTTCCTCAGGGAGACGTTGTAAGTCTATGGTTAAAGCCCAATACTATTTTACTTTGCTTTATTATGGATTCAAGAGACAATTTTCTCCTTAACCTAGGAATTCTGAAGCATGGAATTACATGTTACTTATTCTCACTCAGTGCAAATTTACAGTTTGTCTTATAGGAAAAGAATACTGAAATCTTGGACTACTTCGCTGAAAAACAATCTCTCATAATCTGTTGGTTTCCTTTGTTCAGGAAAGAGAAAAATGTGGTACACAGTGCTTGCCAGGGAGTCTCACAAGGAGGCAAGGAATTCTAAACAGCAGCCGCTTGACCACATTTGGGAGTTCCCTTAGAGGACACCATGAGGCAGAACTTTCAGGGCTAGCGGGGGGCAGGGCCCTGGCTGTGTGAAAGGTCAGGTACCGAAGTGGACTAGGAGGCAGGCCCTAAGGGAATCAAGCCATCAACCTTTATTATCAAATTCCCTATTTTCATGAGCAAAAACCTGTAACAAATTTAGTCTTCATAAAACCTGTTATTTTATGGCATCTTGCATTTGCATAATACCTTGAACTTTTCAAAATCTTTTTACACATTCCATGTCTATAGGATTCTGTAACGATCCTGTGGGATTGTTTGAGACAGCGTTATATTCATTTTAAAAATAAGAACTAAACGTGGGCTGGGGTGCTGCTCAGTGGCAGAGCCTGTGCTTAGCATGTGTGAAGCCCCAGGTTGGATCCCCAGCAGCACAAAAGAAATGGACAAACAAAATATGAACAAACAAAATAAACATGCAAGTGTAGATAAAAATATTCCTACTTTATTTACCAATTTTCTAAAAAACAAACAAAAGACTAAATGAAATAAGTGAGGCCCTGTGGCTTATTGTTAGCAAAACCAAAACCCAAGTTTCTCTAACTCGTGTAAAACTACATTTTTCCACATTCCCACACACCCCCTACATGTTCATCATATCATTATGAAGACTTAAACACCTTCTCTGCAACATGAAACTTTTTTTTTTTTTTTTTTTGGTTTTTTGAGACAGGGTCTCACTATGTAGTTGACACTGACCTGGAACTCACTATATAGCTCAGGCTGGTCTCAAACTCACAGAGATCCTCCTGCCTCAGCCTCCCGAGTGCTGGGATTATAGTCATGCACCACCATGCCCAGCTGAAACTAACTTTTTTTTAAAAAAAGAAGCTCCTTAAAAGGTTATCCCAAACTGCCAATGGTTTAATCAATTGTGCCTATGTTATGACACTCCTATAAGTTAAACTATAGAGTTTGGAGGGCTTAACAGTTGGTGAACACATCGATCTCTTGGGAGGGTGTCATCCACCAAATCCAGAGGGAGAAAAGCACTTGTGTGTGAGACCCACTGGATCTCACCCTATGTACCTTTTAATCTGGCTGTTCATTTTTCTCCTTTGTAATAAACCAGTAAGAGAAAAAAAAGTTATTACCCAAACATTTGAATTAGGAGTATAAAAGAGTAGAATAAATCAGTAATCATTATTTAAGAAAAGTTTTTCTAGCAACATGCTCAGAATATTTATGGTAATCATTAATGTTGTTATTAAATATTTATTTTCCATAAATATGAATTATTCTCATATGGAAGGTATGTGAAGCAAAGGTGATGACACTAATCATAGCAACACTCATAAACTTCTACAAACTCAGTTTGCAAAACCTCAGCAAAATAGACCTGCAGCCACAAGGAAGTCACAAGAGCTTGATGCAATTAATCTATACTTTCTCATTTGAAGGACTCTCATTTAAATGAGTATTCCAGGAGAACACAGTTGTATCACAAATGTCTGAGCCTCTTGTCTTGTAGGAGAGAGGATCTGAGAGGCAGAGTGTTTAGGGAAATCCCCCAACCCATCTTATGTTCGTCATTACAGTGTAAATTCAAACCAGCTGTAAATGATGTACAATATGCCAGGAATTACTTTTTGTGATCTAAGAATAGCTCACTTCTGTGAAGGAAGCTTTGTCTTTGGTTCACCTGGTAAGTTGGAACCACCTGTGGGTCTAGATGTAGGTGTGAATACAAGCATGTCCATGTGCTATCAAAGAACACATTTCTTTCATTCCCCAGGTGATGACTTTCTATACCTGAGAAGTTTTCATTTCTATTGGCAGGAAATCATTGGCTAGACTGGTTGTCTCTGTAGAAGTGGAATCAAGTCAAAAGTTTTTGATTCTTTTTTTCCTTAGTTGTGCTTTAGACTGTGTATCTGCTTCATTGTAAGTTGCCTGGAAGACCAGCCAACTGGTCCATTTGATCTTCTGTGAAAATATAACCTTCAAACTAGGGTATGCGTATCACACAGGTTATCCAGAAACTTTCTAAGAGAGACACAGCTAAGTTTTAAGGTAATAGTTACTAGTTAAGGTAATAACTGTTAATTACTTTACCAATCTAGTAGTAAATCCTCCACCCCACTTTTAAATAAAGTTGATGAGCTTGATGACTCAGCTGCATTCAAGTGGTCCAGCTCATATTTTACTACAGGATGGGAAAACCTCCAAATTCCAAATCTTGGTATTTAGTTGGACTCTAATGCCTTGGAAATTAAGTAGTCTCTAATATTTTTAATCAACAGGTTTGAAAGATGTCCTAATCATTTGGCAGGTAATGAAATATAAAACCTGCTTAGATAAAAGACTAGAACATACGTGATTTTTTTTTTGTTATATCATCCAGAAAAATGTCAAAGGGGTGACTGATATTGCTATAACAATATTCCTTCATTCCTTAGGAAAGTTCGTAATATCTAAATCGATAAAAATGGAAAGTAGAAATAAAATTAATGCTGAATTCTGCATTAGCATTAATATTTATAATCTATGAATTTGAAAATTTATTATTCATTATCTTATTAATTTAATTGAGATAGTAAAATTTACATGCGTTTAGTCATTGTGTTAGTCAATTGTGCATCTA